TCAACAATCCATTTTCTTCCTGATTTGAATCAAATAAATTTTCCTGTTAAAAATTCTATCTCGACATAAAGATTTCGTATTATCTCAAGATCATATCAAAAATTCACTAAAGAAAAGAAAAATTTTAAATGCTACAAAGCACCAGAAATGCTGAATTCTCCGGAGAAAGAGAAAAAAATTGTAAGTTGTTATAGTTTACGATCATAGTTGGCTAAAGTCCGTAATTGAGGTGAACCGATAAGGTAATCTTCTAATTTTCCGTTGATGTGATGTTGAATTGACCATTCAACAAGAATTGCAAAAAGGACTCCAAAATGTCAACCCTGAAAAGTGTGAGGTTTTGTGTGTCTCAGCGTAATCTTAGCGCCTTTACTTTAACCTTCTCTTATCTGATTTCGCCGTTTATTATCACTTCTAGGACACCGTTATACAGCAGGCAATTGACAGTTAAGTTCTATGCCACATTTGCTGTCTAAAAAAGTTTGAAAAAATCATTATTTATAAAAAGCTTATTTTAAAATAAATATTTTGTTTTTATTCAACATGTTTTTTTAGAAATAAAACAAGGCAAAAATAGTAAATTCGATTTCTCAAGCAACACTTAGAACACATGGTTTCATGAAGAACTTTTCAGCTGAAGACCTACCAACCAAATTTCATTTGACTAAAGAATTAAGGGAAAAAGTCAGCCCTCGTCATTTCGGCAGAATGCCAATTTTGCTGCGAAAGATACGAATAACCCACCGAAATGAAGAATCCAATTTTAAGCAAATGATCCGCAAAAGTTTCATGGAAATTTGAAAGAATGACTAAAAAAGTGCGCGATCTGATATGGAACAGCAGATATGTACACACCACTTAATACACTTTGACAAGCTGGAACTTTTAGAGAATTTCGATGACTACCCAGTACTACTCTAAAAGTGTGCCGGATGCAAATTGATTGCTTTTGGCTTATAAACAAAATCTTTACAGTAGCGACCGGACGTCTTTTACCGGAAACTTTAAGGACAATGTTGTATCGCCGTTTGTTCAGCTGTTGCTATAAATTCTGACAAGAATAGCACACGTTTCTTGTTGATCAACTACCAAATCTAATACTGCATCTGAAAAGAAGTAATTCATCTTTTCCGACTACAATATAAGACATAAACCAAGCTGCTCGCTCGTAATGAAATCTGAATTTTTTATGGCCGTAAAGATCCCGAAGACTTGAAGGCAGGCCGACAAAGCTGGATATGATCTTATAAGCTAAAATCAGTCAGGCCTTATTCAGTATCACTCCCACGGGTGGTGTCAACTGAACTCCAAAGAGGTACTCTGAACTTTTGAGAACGGTGGGATCTGGCCACATTGAAAGAGTTCTTTTCGCTGTAAGATTCATAAATTTGTTTTGGCATTATTATGCTGTAATATTTGGCACAGTTCTTGATGCGGTATTTTCTACTTTTTTTTTTTTTTTGTAATGGTGCTTTTTGCAACAATTCGAAAGTGATGTTCCATCTGAGATTCTTTCTCGGCGGGATGCTTAAGTCTGCTGATTTTTTAAATAACCGTTGCTTTAATGTTAGAAATGTGGATTTCATTTCTGTTTTTTTTTCGTATTAAATTATGTTAGCACAAATATCTTACCGGAATTTTCAAGCCCACCATTTTCTTGGTTACCGTTTGTTCTATATTTGCTGTGACAGCCTATCGTTCAGTAATTCCTCTTCTTTTTGTTTGACGATTGACACCATTTCTGGCGTACTAGTTTGTCTCCGCAGAAGGGTTGCGCAGTTTATATTCCTCGCAGGTCTTATGAATGCTTGCTTCAGGCTTTTTTCATCTCGACTGGGTTGCCTGGGATGTCTTCTAGGCATAGAATAAATTTGGAAGATGGTGACAGGAAGCGTGATCGAAGAAAAAGGTATGCTGTGTAATAAAATTGCAGTTCCGCTGCAAAAGCATTATTCATTTTTCAAGTATAAATGTTTTATTGATCAGTGTGTGATTTTGTACAATATTTTTCAAGTCTTACTTTTATGTTGCAGTTGAGCATTAGTGTTTGACGGAGGGAAAAAGAATTTGGTAGAGGTTGTACCGGTAGAGCTCCTGGTCCTTAAATTTACTCTGATAGTATTGGTAAATCTCTTACGATTACAAGGATAGGTGGTAGATTCTAGTGCTTCAATTTATAGGTCTCGATCACGTTCGAAATCTAGATCACGTTCACGCTCGCCTTATTCACCGAAACATTCGAAGCATCACAGCGGAAGTCGTACACCGCCTAAAAAAACGCGTGTTGTGGAAGCAGCTCCTGTATTGGCATCGAAGCCTACTGTCAGTCTCTCAAGCGATATTGCTGCCTTAACGCCTTTCCAATTCATGATTTTTCAAAAATGAAATTCATCTTAGAGATATCACTCCGTATTAAACTATGAATGCCTTTATGAGGTGATTGGATGTTTAGCGCTTAATCAGTTCCATTTTTTAAGGTAAATCCTTACAATGGTCATCCTTACTCAGCCCGTTACTTTGATTTATACCAGAAACGAAGTAAGCTCCCTGTTTGGGAGTACAAGGAAAAGTTTATGGAAGTTCTGCATAATAATCAGGCAATGATTTTTTTTTTAATTTATTTTCTAGAAAATTGTTAGATCGTCGTTAAAGGTGTACCCTTTGTGAGTAATAGTGACGCCCTCATCTTTGCCAAATAATGTGTTTAATTTTATTTACCTTCTTTTTCGTTAAAGTAGTTTTTCATAACTTTTGTATTTTTAGTGTCTTACCTTGGTTGGTGAGACGGGGTCAGGGAAAACAACCCAGATTCCACAGTGGTGCTTAGAATATGTAAAATCAAGAACGGTGGCCGGTCAGAGGCGTTTAGTAGCTTGTACTCAGCCCCGACGGGTAGCCGCAATGAGCGTTGCGACACGCGTTAGTGAAGAAATGGATGTTCAAGTAACTGCCATGTCGTTTTTAAATCTTATTGTTCTGATGTAGTATTAATTTTGCTTTAGAAGAATAAAAATTTTTTTCACAGAGAATAAATTCTTTTACAGTTAGGAATGGAAGTTGGATATTCTATCCGATTTGAAGATTGCGTTAGTGAACGTACGGTGCTGAAGTATTGTACAGATGGTATGTTATTAAGGGAAGCGATGAACTGCCCATTGTTAGATAATTATGGTGTTATTGTGCTCGATGAAGCCCACGAACGCACTTTGGCGACTGATATACTTATGGGTTTAATAAAGGTATTATTTTTATTTAAATTTGGTGTTATCTTAAATACTTAATGGGACATATTTTTTTTAGGAAATAGTTCGTCAAAGGAAAGACTTAAAAATTGTTGTCATGAGTGCAACTCTCGATTCGGGGAAGTTTCAGCAGTATTTTGAGAACTGCCCGCTTATGTCAGTTCCCGGACGGACCTTCCCTGTTGAAATCTTTGTATGTTTATTTCTAAAATTATACTCATCTTTGCCTCCATTTAATTGACATTATTTATGAGGTCGAAACGGCCTTCACTGCTAGTTAGTTGCTTTTAGTATACTCCGGAGCCCGAAAAGGATTATCTTGAAGCAGCCATCCGAACTGTTGTGCAAATACATATATGCGAAGAGGTCGAAGGTGACATATTGCTGTTCCTGACTGGACAAGAGGTACAAATCTTTTTGCCAAATGAGATGTCGTTTTTTCCCGTTACAATTTTTATTAGCCCGGTTCTGACGGAAGAGTGTTTTTTGAAGGTCGTACCCTACAAATAGATTTTTATTACTCCTTTTTTCTTTTACATCGTCTTCAAAGTAGCTTTTTTTAGGAAATTGAAGAAGCCTGCAAACGCATCAAACGTGAAATCGATAATTTGGGTTCTGAAGTCGGTGAATTAAAATGTATACCCCTTTACTCAAGTCTGCCTCCAAACCTGCAACAGAGGATATTTGAGCCAGCGCCGCCTAAGAAGCCTAATGGTGCTATTGGTAGGCTTTGTTTTTGAAGGAAAACAATTTAGTATCATTTGGTAGGCTACTCTTACTCGCGGTCACCTATGCTTTGGGGTTCATAGGTTCAAGATGGATTAGTAAGGTCGGGACTTGATAATTGGGATTAGTTGCTTATGAGTCTTGGAACAGCATTGTTTTCTAGTTGCGATGTGAAGCGAGGTGTGGTTAATGTAACATTTACCCTCGTCTTAAAGGCCCCTCTCTGGCGCTCCTATATGCTGACAGCGCTTACCTTTTGCATTGACTTTGAACCCATGTTGACAGCGCCTGGCAAAAATTGCAGGTCGAAAATGTGTGGTATCAACGAACATTGCCGAGACGTCCCTTACTATTGATGGTGTTGTTTTCGTTATTGACCCAGGCTTTTCGAAACAGAAGGTTTGTCACGAGATGGGCCTCGGAATGAATACCGACATTGTTTCATAGAAAAAATGACATGGAAAAGAACGATTTTTCTAAAATTTGGTGATTTATTTGCCGAAGGGTATTTTAGGTGTATAATCCGAGAATACGTGTTGAGTCGTTACTGGTTTGTCCGATCTCAAAAGCTTCTGCTATGCAGCGCGCAGGTCGTGCTGGGAGAACGAAACCCGGAAAATGTTTTAGGTTATATACAGAGAAAGCCTACAAGAATGAAATGAATGAACAAACTTACCCAGAGATATTAAGGTAAGTGAATTTTTTAGTCAACAGGCTATGATGATTCTGCCCTTTTATGTTACTGGAGACCGGTAATGTAAAGAATATTTTTTTATTTGCAGGTCGAACCTTGGTAGCGTTGTACTGCAGCTCAAAAAATTGGGAGTAGATGACTTGGTGCATTTTGATTTTATGGACCCTCCAGCTCCAGAGACGCTTATGAGGGCTTTGGAGCTTTTGAATTACTTAGCTGCAATCGATGATAATGGAGATTTAACGCAGCTTGGTTCTCTGATGGCCGAGTTCCCGTTGGATCCTCAGCTTGCTAAGATGGTTATTGCTTCTACGGAGCTAAACTGTTCTAACGAGATTTTAAGTGTTACTTCAATGTTGTCTGGTAATTGTCTCGTTAATTTATTTGCTATTTTTAAAGTTTCTTCAAAATCGCTTCAGCTTCAATTTTGACTTTTATCTGCTTATTGCAACCCATATTCTAACTGTGTTAGGCCTTCGGTCGCTTTTTAGTAACAGTATAAAAGTAAAAATTGCAGTTCCTCAATGCTTCGTGAGGCCTACTGAAGCTAAGAAGGCTGCAGATGAGGCAAAGGCGCGCTTTGCGCATATTGACGGCGACCATTTGACATTATTGAATGTCTACCATGCTTTTAAACAGAGTCAGTTCATTTCGTTAAATTTTTCTTTTAAAGGAGGTGCGCTCAATGAAATTCATAATTTCAGACCATGAAGATGTGCAGTGGTGCTATGACAACTTTGTAAGCTATCGTGCCCTGAAAAATGCTGATAACGTGCGTATACAACTAGCCAGGATAATGGATAAATACAATTTAAAGCGGGTGTCGACCGACTTCAAGAGCAAAGATTATTACATAAATATTAGGAAGGCCCTAGTAGCAGGTTTTTTTATGCAGGTGATTTTTAAGGACCAGATTTGACAGCTTTTTAGTTTACTTGTTAGCGGTTTCAATATTTTATATCTCCGACCTTTTCCCCCTTAGGTTGCCCATCTGGAGCGCAGTGGCCACTACATCACGGTTAAAGACAACCAGTTGGTGCAGTTACATCCATCAACAGTTCTGGATCACAAACCGGAATGGGCCCTTTATAATGAGTTTGTTCTCACAACAAAGAATTTTATAAGGACTGTAACTGATGTTAAGCCAGAGTGGTAAGTCATCTCATTCCCCGACCCTGAATTTTGTTTGTTACTTTTGTTCACATTTTCTAACATTTCAGGCTAGTGCAGATGGCTCCCCAATATTATGATATGTCAAGTTTCCCAGAGTGTGACGCTAAACGAAAACTGATACATGTTATAAGCACATTAGACGCACTGCGGAACTCCCGGAACATTTGAAACCTTACTTTACCTTCAGTCACTTGTCTGATATATTCAGGTTTACGTTGTATTAAATGATTTGTACATTTGAAGTTCACCTGAAGGTATGACAGTGGTGTTTAAGAAGTTCATCAGAGTTGTTTTTCAGCAGATTTGTATCGGAAAGGGTTACCTCCTTTTCTTCTCTCCCTTCTCCATTGTTTGCCTTCAGGAGACAGCATATGAGTTGTTTCTTGTTTGATTGTTTGCGAACTGTTGTTTGCTATAAGAGTGAGAAAATAAATGGAGTATCGTAGATCTGGTAGGTTTGGTGCACTTTGTAATCTGTTCTAGTCGGGAGATGTGAAGTTTAAATTCATTAGTTTTTATCAACTTCTCTACTTCCTGGAAAAAATTGCTTCTAAATTTTACTGTAACAAGATATCACATATAAGTGGCAGGTGGTCACTGGGAGAGATTACTGAGGGCAATGCTGTGTGTTTTTTAACCAGTTCATCTGAAGGCATCGGGATCGTTTGGACCACCTGAAAATGACATTTTCTACAGTGAACTTGTGAACTTGTTGAGAAATTCGCCTACTAGCCTTGTTAAAAGAGTAGTAAATTTGACAGTTCTTGAGAATTTAAAGACCCATTCTTCCCAAAAAATATCCTGTTACAGATCACTGGATGAATATGATTTTTTCAAAGGCTTAGGTTTCATCTTACGGTGGAGAAGAAAGTGAAACTAATGGACCTTGATTCCTGGGTCTCCCCAAATATAGTCTAAACAACCAGAAAATCCTAAGATATCCCCATTTCTCGTGAAACGCGTGTAGTTTGTGTACGGCGGGTCACCTACAAGGCTCAGCATTGGATTTAAAAATGTCGATACACTCGTCCCCAAAACTTCCTCCGAACCAATTTTCTTGTTGAATCCAATACTCCAGATTTCATGGCTTCCAGAAAGTGTGCCTAAATGGATCAATCGCGAACTAAAATATGAAATTTTTTAAACTGGAACTACCTTTGCTTATTAAGTCGTAAACAGGTCCATCAGGTGTACTATTAAAGTCCCCAGCAAGCAACTTATAGATTTTCCCGTTAGGATGCTTCAGCTGCAACTCCTGTGCTTTATGAGCAATATGACGTGCGCAAAGCAAAGCTTGCATCACTTTAATATTTTCTTCTTGAGGATCATAATGTAAGTGGGTGTTTCCAGCCATTAAAAGGACATCTTCATCAGTCGTAGATCCGAGAAGAAGAAGCTAAATAGTTTCAAACCAAAAAAAAATTTTTTTGAAGGAGTGCAGAAATAGTCTTATTGCTACTTTTACAGCAACTGATGCAGGACTTGCTAACTTTAATGCAAAATCCTTAAACTTGCAATAAATTTTTATGAATAAGAGGAATGAATCGCCTGTTTACGTCAAAAAGATATCAATAATTCTACGGTAAACGAACTGGTAAGTCCGACGATACCTGGATAACAGCAGGTCTGCTAAAAAAGTGTTCTTTAAGCTGCAAGTTCTGATCCAAGTAATTAATTATATCAACATTTTCTGGGTAACTATCCCCATTTAATAGGTCTGGAAGCCAGGCATCATAACTGTCAATAACACTGAAGAAAAAAAAAACTAGGTTTGAAAAATGTATAAAGAAAAAACATGAGTTTTTCAACGTAAGAGTGGTGAGCTATTAAAAATGTCTTTTTCATAAGATTTTTTAACTGCATAAAGGCTACAGAGTAACGCAATGGTCGGAATTTCAATGAAATGTGCTAATTAAATGTGAAGGTATAACATTTAGAAAAATTAGAACGAACCGAAGTTTGTCTTTACGAAAACATATTGCCAACCCCTCAGTAACAGCAAGTCCTTTCTTCTTGAAGCGGGTTTCATATCCTAGCTCCTCCATATATGGAAGTAAAAAGCGCCGACGAAACCTTTCATCAACTTCTTGTAAAAATATCAAATCAGCATTATAGCCTAAATAAATGCTCCGACAAATTACCATGAAAACCAGCTATAGCAGCAGAAAAGAGAAAGTTACAATCACAATACAATTACCAAATAAAAGGGGTTTAAAAAAAAAAAACCTGGAATTTCCCGAAGAAGGAGAGGATAACGGTAGGCGTATTCCTGGTAGACCTTTGGACAGTAAGGAAAAAATAGGTCATCCTGTGGTTGACGAAGATTTAGATACAGATCAGCAAGAATGTTGTACGACATGACTCTCAACCTGACCTCAATCACTTTTACACTATTTTAAATTTTTATTCTCAAAAGAGGAATCGTAAGAACTGTTATGTGCACTCCAAACCTAGCTTTCTAAAAAAATTACTTGGTTTTGAGGGTATTGTAAAAATATATACAATAAACATTTGAATGTTACCCATCGGCACAAGCGTCTCTACAGTACTTCTGCCTCTCTTCGAAAATCAACTGCTCTTCGGGGACTGCAGCAACAGGATTCTTTGTAACAGCAAATCGTTTTATTGTGTCTTCACCGAGATCAATTATCACACTTACATATTTTCCAATGTCGTCACTACTTGGTTTATACGAAACACCTGTATGTTCACAGACGCATTTTTCTTTTTCTTTCAATAGCAAATCTAAAAAAGATCCTTGGTAATATCAGTATTAGTTTTGCAAAGATAACAGTTAATGGTACGTAATTTTTTGCAATTTTCGTCGCAATAATAATAAAAAATCGATCTTCTTAAACAGCGGTTACACCTTTCCTAATTTAACAGACAGAAATAATGAAGTGAGCTAACTCAGGTTGACCAGTTGAACCAACTTTTGCATACGTTAAGTTCACAATGAAAAAAATAGAGTACCACTAAAGACAGAAGCAGAATTTTAAGAAATGACCCCCAAAAGGTTAACAAAAAAAAGCTAATTAAAAATATCTAAATGGACACACCTTCAGATTCTTCTTCCCAGAAGTTATGCGAAGTGACACGCCAACGAAATATAATTTGGGAAGACGGCTGACGACCTTAAAAACTGAACTTCTGCCTCCATATCACAAAAATACAGTATTTACCAGCCAATAAAACAAAAATAAAAAATAAAAAAATAAATATAATAACAATTACGAGACCAATTAAATTATGAAATCACGTGCAAATTTCTTGCTAAAATATGTCGCTAAATCTACAAACCTTCCTCCGCCATCTCCCCAGGAATTTCTTGCATTTAAATACCTAACGACCGAATCAAGCGTATTTTAAATTGCTTATTGAAAACTATAAGAAACTAAATACAGTCCCTTGAAAAAAATCATAGAAAATCCCAACAAATGGAAAAATAACCATCAATAACAGCAACAGCGGTAATCAAACAAAAATTTGTCCACGACTTCGCGCAATAAAAGAAAGAAAATTTTTGAAAATCGTAGTTGTGAAAAATTTGAAACTTTTTATCGAGCTTTGACAAAGAAAACCGTAGCAAATGCCTCGTAAGCTTCAAACTATTGAAAATTTTCCACCACTGGAAGTATTCTTTCTTCAAAAATAAACGTAAAAAAAACAAGTGTGGAGAGCCTAAAAACAAATTCAGCAAAAGTACCTGGAGAAAGATCAAAGCTGGCAAGTAACGGGCACCCAACGAGAGGACTCAACGCTAATTTTATCGCACTGCATTCCGGAGCATTTCTAATAAGACGGTAGTTTTTACCGGCAACTTCAATCGTTATAATATTAGGATTAAAAAGGATTTCCTCGTTTGTTTGCTCCGACTATAAACCAGAGATCCAGAATTAGAAAAAAACATGAATATATAGAAAAGCAAAGAAAAAAAAGTGAAAAGTTCCGATTAAAAGTGGAAAAAGAAAACAAAAGTATCAAAATGGTGTCCAACTGCAGAAGTAAGATAATTACGATTTCTGAAGAAGAAGCGTCGCAAACTGCCACATTAACATCCTGAGAACCAGTAAGCGACATAATTCTCAAACTGTCTTCAACCAGTTTGCTTTTTAGCTTTCTTAACGTGTCGCAGAACTTTCCGTCCAGCGGACGAATCAACTGTATTAATTTTTTCCTATTTCCATTTCTCATATACTCAAAAAGTATTGAGACCGAATCGAAAATATCCTCACCGCTGAAAAATATTATTTAAAATAAGTGGAACAAAATAAATGATGTCTTTCATTTAAATTAAAAAGTTGGCATTTCAGAAGACTGTCCAACAAAAGTCTTCTAAACCTTGTAGAAGTATGAGCGTTCTTTGGCTTCACACAAGTCTTCGCTATCATCATAGAATTTTTAGGCAGTTTCATTCTGAAAAATAAAAATATCTTGACATCCTGTTCAAATGTTATAGTGATAAAGTATACTGAAATAAGTAAAAATGATTAAATTCAAAAAGTAAAAAAAGAAAGGAACATTGATTCTAAAACTTAAATCAAATGCACCTGGAAAAGAATGTTGTGTAATAACAAAACTTTTCAGTATACGCCGAAAAACCTTTTGGCCTCCCAAACCCAAGTCCGTACAAGTTAAGACCAGATACTGTATTCAGACAGTATGTGCAGTATTTCAGATGGGGCTTCAGGGCGTTCATAGCCACGTAAAATAAAATAAAATGCGATGTAAATTATGCCATTCTAAAAACCTAAGTTACACTACAGTACAGAGATACTGGATTAGTGAAAAGTATCGGTTGAGAATGAAAGCCAATAGTCAAAGGAACGAGAACAAAATTTTCTCAGGTGTTAGACAGTTCTTAATCTGTTGCGAGTCCAAATGCAATGAAACGGCGAGCTTATTATAGCAGCAATACTGGAGCTTAAGGGATTCAAAATGTAGAGTTATTGATAACCAGATTTTTCTTTTCCTAACCTGAACACCACACATCTTATTGTTAGTTGAGGAAAACTGATCAGCAATTATCTTAAAGCGTGGATGCCCATGATACGGCGTCACAAAAACGGCATAAATTGATGCAAACATATCAAAATCTGAATTAAACTGATTCAGCTGTACAGTTTCAATTTGCTACACTGCACTGTATCATATGCATTATTAATCTCAAATCGTCCAACAAACACATTTATACATGTATTTGTTCATCCATACAAAACGTCAGTAACCAAGATGCACAATTTTTAGGCGAACAAGTTGAGTGATCATTTGAGAAAAAAGTCAAAAACTTCAAATACCGGGGATAAAACTACTGAACAAAAAACACTGTTTTGGAAGTATGCCAGCTTCTTCACAGAAATTTTCAAGCAGTCTGCGAATTACGTTCGGAAGATGAAGATTTAATCCCTATATATATGTACCTCTGATGATTTTCTGCATAACTGCAAGACTGATATGCTCAACACAAGTCAGACAGCATTCAATGAACTTTTCATTTAAACTGTAATCTAATATATCTTTTTTGCCGGCTTCAAAACTTTATTTAAGCTGCAGGCTCAGTACTTTTTAACAGTAGGTATAATTCAAGTTTTGCAGTAGATTTTATTCTTAACCGGATGGATAGTTGATGAATTTTTTTTAGGGGCGCAAAAGAATGCGACAGAATGACGAATATAGTACAGAAACAAAAACTATTTATGAGTAGTATAAAGGATAAAATGAAAGCAGGTTACAGTTTAGGAAGTTTGAAATTGTTATACACTTAAACAAAACCAAATGTTTTTTTTTTTGGTCTAACCGTTGAGTATGGTGTTATAATTTTTGAACCGCTGAGCATGTGATAGGCAGAAGTTCCGTGGTTACAAATCGAAAAAAGTACAGAAGTTTAAAAAATGTTCCTATGTCTTTGTTCTCTCGATTACGAAACGATAGAGCAATTTGAGTGAAGTAAAAGGATAAAAAATATTAGTGAAGAAAGCAGTTGTCTTATGCCCAACAGTAAATAGTTCTTTTAACATATTCCCTTAAACTACCATCCAAATCTTCAACCACAGGTAAACCCTTCAAAGCATTCCAAAAATTGAAATTTTAAAAAGAAGACACTGAACGCGAAAAATTCCTTCAAATAATTTCTACGTGACCCAGACATATTTTAGAAGGTAAAGCTAAATTTTTTCTCTTTAAAATTTCCTCTATCCCGCGTTAGTTTCAGTAAGAAGTACATTTAAAGTGTTTTGAGTAGCTTTATATTCCTCTTGAGTTTTTTTTTCTGTGCATAAAAGCGCTATACAACAAATCATTACTGCTGCTGTTTGTCTCAGGAAGTACACGGTAAGAGTTGAGGTCTCAAATGAAAACCGGAGATGTCAACAAACTACCTAATTCTTTCCGTATTATTTAACCACCACTTACCTAAATACTTCACTGCGTTCTCATTCGTCTTTTCAAAGGCTTATGAATTTCAGCCAAATTATCTTTTTACAGGCACTCCTAAAATTCAATTTCAATCCTGTAATTTCCGAGCAATTAAAATCCTGCTCATGTTCAGCAAAATCTTTTTAAAAAAACTCTATTTTTTGTGTGTCATGCCTTTCTCCACCAAAAGTGTTCGTAATACCTCTATTGACTAGATCTTAGTTTTCCTAATCTAGTGAAAGTCACGCAAATAAATCTTCACTTTTTCCGTAAATATCGCTTTTCTACAAAAAAATTTTTTGGTTGAAACTCACAAACAAATAATATTAGTGAAGATTCAGCAACTACTTGTTGCATAGCTGTTTGAAGGAATTACTAAAATTCAAGTAAAACCATCAAGCATTATCTACAGTAAAATCGACAATGTCAAGCTGAAATATTACGCAACTTAATTATTACTACTGAATTAGTTAGGATCAACAGTAAATTCAGTTAAAAACAATTATGACTTGAAATGCTTCTACAGCTTCTGTATCAGCAATCATATGTGCAGCTAATTTGCACTTTAACATGGTACTACAGTAATTTTAATTTCTGTTTACAGACTAGTATTAACAATTTCATGCGCAGTTATACAAATATGAAAGACCCGTACACTGCACTGGTCCACGAAACGGGTTTGTTAACTAAATTAAGAACTGCATCCGCAACGTGAAAATAATCAGTGCTGTTTTTTCCAGGTTCATTCAGAAAGTGAAGTAGAGAAAGGAGTTGAATGTTAATATCGTAGCACTTCTTAGCGACGAAGGTCACAGTAGATCAAGCACTCTTCTTTCAGTCTCTATACTACAATCTCATTAAACTCCACTTCATGCTAAGTCGCTCCCAGCAAAACTGTATCATAATTATTCTAGAATCTTGTTTCAGTTGAGCTAATAACAAAAAAGAGTACTGTTATTTGTCCTGGAAACGATTGTAGTTAAGCGAAAAAAAAGTGGGAGTAGAAAACAAGTAAAAGCACACTCTAAGCTTTCATTACTTAATTGCATTTCAAATTCTAAAAAGTACTATTTCTAAAACCTAGGTCAGTACTCCGTAGTTATTCTAGTAACAGTTGATCCCGTTTGAAATCATCAGTCGTATCGCATTAAGTAAATGGTCGACCAAATCTCAGTTTTCTGTCAGATGCCGCCAATGTTAAACAACAGGTAACCAAAAAACTGTCAAATTCTGTAGATCTGATCTACACTGATGCTCTGTCACTGATATTTGTAATTAGAAGTTAATTCTGTAAAAAAACTCAAGAGCTAAGAACAATGCCGTAAGTAACAATATATGAATTACTTTCTCAGGGTGCTGACCCATAGAGGCTTTTCAAGTAGATGAAGACATTTGTTTCTGCATCTTTGAAGAGCATATTAACATTAGATTCAGTTACTGATTTCATCATCTGGTGGTTTTCTTGTTTGCTTGCTGTAATACACTTGAAACTGTTATGTGTAAATTCGTATGAAAGTCCATATTTCTGAAATTTCATTGATGTAGGCGATCATTTGATGGGATTTTACCAAAATAGAAAAAAAAAATTTCAAAGGATTTTGTCTCCTCGAGATCCCTGATTTGATAGCCGTTAGGAAAGAGAACGGGGTTTTCAATTTTCCAGCCTGCCAGATGGTGTGTGTTAGAAGTTCATTATTTAAGTGACACTTTTCAGAATTAAGTATATGTTATCTGAAGAAAAGTCAATTTTCTTCATTTTAGATTTAGAAAAATTTATTTTATAATGCAAACACTGACGAAAGCAAAAAGAAATAAAATTTTTGAAATGATGGTACCAAAAATCGAAGTGACACTTTCAAAAAATTATATACATGCAACATGTTTTATATTTCGACAAATGTAGTGTCCTGGCAAGCAGATTCTGGACGTTACAGTACCAGTCAGTTAACTGAATAAAGGCGAGAATTTGGATGTATTTGAAGACTTCACTGCGAAGAGACCGGATTGTGGAAAAACCAAATATGAGATGACTCATCTTTAATTTTTTAAAGTTTTTTGATTCTCTTATCTTCTCTCCTGAAGAATGGAAATCTTACTGCATTAGTTATGTAAAACTGAGAAAAAAATAACAGCATACCAAGCATCCTGCATTTGCTTGGTTACTGTCAAAAAGCGATTTGAACAAGGGCTATTCTGCTGAAACTGAAGTTTTCGAGTGGGCATTAAAAGATCAACTGATTGTATTTAGTGTTTTTGGCCCTGGAGGCTGACCGAGTACAATCACATCCACTGGAAAAATAAAGCTTTTATCGTCTGCGTACTATTGATCTTAGTGCTGAGACGGTTTCTTTCCAAACACTATGGAAACAAGCATGTGTTCTTCTTTTGTTTATTCTTATACACTTTTCGCGGACAATTCACGTCCATTGTGATGACCACGGTCGTCAGTAATCATCATTTTTTCAGCCTCTGTTGTATTAGCTTTTTTCGGTTCAAAAAGCAGTGGTTGTGATTCTCATCATGGCTGAAAAAGTAGAACCAGACTATGATGTTGAGATGGGACAACCCGAGGAACAGAGTAAGTTCAGTTAATATTTTTTGTTAATGTTGCTTAGTTTTGCTATCGTTACTCCGCTGATTTCAAGTTGACAGTATGAGAAGACGAGTGACAAGAAAAAAAGGAAGAGGGCTTCGAGGAATTACTCGTAGCAACGTGAGAGAATATGAAGCTTTTGAACAGGAAGGAGCAGCTGGTGCTCCTCAAAGGTTATTTTATTACGGAAAATTTTTACTTCCTGTTGTCGTTCGGTGAAATGTTTCCATCTAAGCTGTTTTTGCTATACTCGTCAGCACTGTAGGTCTGTGGAAGGCTGGATTATATTTGTCACCAATGTTCATGAAGAAGCTCAAGAGGACGATGTTTACGAACAGTTTGCACCTTATGGCGAAATCAAGAATATGTCACTAAACGTAGATAGAAGGACCGGTTTCCTGAAGGTAACTTTTTGCTGTTTAGAAGAAGTTGTTGGAAATAATGTATTAAAAAGTTTCCGTTAATACTTTTTTAGCTTAGTCAATCATTAAATATTCTTTTTTATTGCTTCTTACCAAACTGTTCTTTACTCTGTTATAGTTGCTTTAGGGGTATGCTTTGATTGAGTATGCTACTAAAAAAGAGGCTGCGGAAGCTATTAATGCTTGCAGTGGGTCTAAACTTCTAGGACAGGAGATAAATGTTAGCTGGTGTTTTGTCAAAGGAGGTGGTAATTTCCGTGGGAAAAGGCGAAGATGAACTGTGCTATAAACTTCCTTTTTTATCTGTCACCTCAGCGTTTAACTTACATTGGTACTTTTGTTAGCTTTCAGTCGCTTTTTTATCTTGAACAACCAACGAGTATTTTTGATTCAATTAAGGGCTCTGTGATCTCAGTAAGTCCCAGCAGTGCATTGATTATTTCATTCCAATTCTTGTATATTTCCCCTTGCTTTAAAAAAATACTTGTGCTTCTACCAATTGGTATTCAAATTTGTTTCAGTGAAGTTTTAATTAGCACTCAGATGGCAGTGTAACGCAGCAGTAATTCATACTTTTAGATGCCTTGACATACCGTTGGATTGAGTGTTTTTATGACTAGGTTTCACATCAAATTTCTTTTTCAAAAGTTTTTCCGGCTTACTCCATCTAAAATTAAGTGTTGTGTAAACAGAGCTGCAAAAACAATATTTGATAAGTGAAATTTTACAACACATTTGCAACACTTAATTAAAAGCAAAAACACTAGCAATCAGAATGCAAAATAGCCTTTTTCAGCATAAGCTCAGCCTGTTTCGGTGATGTTTTTACTTTCCTGCCAACTTCCTTGCGCCTTAGGGCTGCTTCTAAACAATTTGAGTTTTTTTTCATTACTGTAATTTTGGAATAATTAAATGCTAATTGTCTAGCCTGGTCCGGACTTGTTTATGTCCCTTAAAATCGCTTTAAAAAAAAATCTGAAATTTAAAAGGAAAGTGTATTAGCATTTTTAAGCTTTAGCAGAAAAAAAGTACTTCTGGAGTATATAAAGAAAATTTGCTAAAGTTAAAAAACATCCAAAAGAATTAGCAGCAAGGAAAAAGTTAAGGAACATTGTAAACCCTTAAACCTGCGCCTATTGAGTAAATCATGCGTTTTGGTGCTTCCGTTTTTGGAAAGTGAACGTTACATGATTCTTTTCACAATATCAGTGGGCACTGTCATGATTGGTTTGCTGTTTACACTGCGTAGGGGAATTTTTGCGACGTATAAGGTAACGTCACTACTCATACTTAAACAATGTGAGTAAAAAGGTCAGCTACTTTTGAAGATCTTTTGGTAAATTGCCGGAGTCTACACTACCTGTTCAAGAAATTTTTCCCTGTTCCAAAAGACAACTCTCGGTTTTGGTGATTTATTTGGAAACGGTTCGTTGTTTAACGTTTTCTCCCTCACTGGACATGGGCGTCAAAGCATTTTGATGTCAACTGCTTCATAACAGCAGTCAATGCCTAGCAGTTTGAAGCTGAGATCTCCAAGCGGCTGTGTAGTTAAATTTGAAAAGCTAGTATTAAATTCTACCTGATCAATACGTTAAAAGTTATCTATTTAAGAGTAATATTCTTTATTGTTTTCCGATGAGATTTGTCTGCAAGCACACGGTTGTAGTTAGAACAGTTAGAAGATCGCGTGCCAAAGCCGTTTGTAAATCAGTAGTGGAATAAAGAATATAGCGTTAACAGGTTTATGATGCGGTTACCATAATAAATTACACTAGTTGAATGACAAAATGGTACAATTTACCCGAAAAAAAGAAAATTAGATTTAAAAAAAACTGGTAAAGATGAAATCAAATGAACCCGAGCCAGGTTGCACAGTGACAATACTTCGCAAAAAACGTCGAGAAAATTTAACATTCCAGATCCATGTTTTTTTGAATTAAGGTCAAATACTGTATTCTGACGGTAGCTGCAGTATTTCAAAAGGAACTTTGTAGAGCTCATAGCCACGTAGGATACGACAGTCCGATGTAAATTATAAGACACTGGGTTTCTGCTAAATACTGGTATGGAGACACTGGACGACTAAAGTGTATCAGCTGGAAATGATGTTGAGTGTCCAAAGAAATTACGAAACAATTTTTAATTGCGTTAGGTGAGGTCATGCACGCCTAAATGCAATAAAGAGCAAACTAATTGCAGCAACAATCCGGGAACTAAAAAGGCCCGAAACGCCATGCTACTGATGATGAATTTTTTTCAATCTGAGCAATATACTAGTAATTTCTAGTTAAGTAAAACTGATTAGCAAGGATATTACAGATCGACGATGATGTGCCAACACAAACATGGCATATATTGGTGCAAACGTCCTAAAACTCGTTGCACACTTTTAACCCGCTACACCATATCAGTTACTCCGCTAATCTCTATCTGTCCAGACATGTATCCTCTTCATCATCCTTACAACGGGCTAGAGTAATTCGCCAGTCCGTGATAGTTGGTTAAGAAGTCGAAAAGAAGTATCTATAACTATGTATAAAAAAAAAAAGCGAAAAAAGCCGCTTTTTGAAGTTTTGCCAACACTGGCAGAACTTCAGAAGTCGTTTGCGTTTGTACGCAAATGGCGGCAACGTATAGCTGAAATGCTTTCCTTTCCTTCGCAGTTTTCATTTGCGAAAGTGGTTTTTGGGGGGTGCGTGCAGAGCATCTGCTTCGTAATCCGGTTCTATGGTTGGCCTCAGGTCATCCTATTCGTGATAAGGTGGACAAGATGTTCTTCAGGTTGTATTAGCAGTGTTAGATTGGCAAAAATCAGTATGCCTGTCTTGCAAATGTTCGTTTTTGTAATATTTAGTTCACATTTGTCTTTTAACTCTGAATCTTGAGCTTTTATGGGACGTAATAGGTTCTCTCCCGAGAACACGTGTTTTTCTTGATTCCTTCTTTTCTGCTTTTGTATTATGCAGAATTAGATTAATTTTGACGGCAGTTGCGTCGATGAAGTTGTTGCGAGCTATTCGAGGTTTTTTAGTCGAGATTTCCGTATTCTGTCGTTAATTTACCTTGCAGATGTCAAAATACTATGGTTCTCGACCCCAGGCGTTTACCATCGATGATTCGGGTGAACGCTATTACATTGGAGCAGAGGTTCGTTTCTTAATGCTTGATTAGTTAGAGTAAAGAACCTTTTTCGTCCGTTATGCATTGGTTTCTTCTTAAGGTTGGACAGTATATGAAGTTTCATCGTGGATCGCTGTATAAAAAGTTTCCTCAGCTATGGAAAAGATTTGCAACATTAGAGGAGAAAAGGAAAATGCAAGAAATGGCCTGTCCATCGTCATTTTTGAATACGAATATAATGTTGGTTAAAGCAAGCGAGGTAAATGATGAAATTTGAAAAGTAGAATTGAAACTGTTTTTGTGATGAAATGATATTTTTGGGGATTCTAAGTTATCGGTGCTGATGTGGCTCTGTATTAGTCCACGTCTGTTCATATATTTGAATAGGTAAAAAATTCTACGTGTTTTGAGGTGTTTTGAACTGATTCGTCTTTTTTTCGCGTCGGATTTAAGATCTTTTATAAGTATTTTAAAACTGCGTTTGGCTGAGATGCATCTAGCTGCATAGTCTTCTTTTATAAATAATTTAAATTTTTTCAAATGATTTGACATCTACTCGGATTCCTGTTTGTTCTAAATTACCAGAGCTATTGTTTCTAATCCTAATTGGCTGCATTTGTAAAATAATTATAATATGACTTTATGGCAATGTTTTTCAACCTTGAAATTAGGCCCTTTTTGCTTTTTGTTGAGGGGCCAGCTTTTATTTGATAAAATTGTTTTTTCTAATGATTTCATTCTTTTAGATCGATGAATTGTTAAGCGGTAATGAGGATAAATATCGTGCTGGTGGTGGGGGTTCTACAAATACAGCCTCTGTGACGTCACTGAATGGGAATTCTCCATTGAAAACGACTAGATCGGGAACTGGACCATGGTTAGGGCAACAGGTTGATTTTTTAATTGATTTCAAAGAAGTCTTGTTCTGTTTCTTCATTTTCCGCATTCAGGTGAGTAGTGGGTCACATCATCTTGAATCGGTACCATGCTCGACACCAATCGCTCACGCTAGGGGCCATATGAAAATTAGAGATTACGCACACTCCCCTGACGATCTTGAGATGTATAAACGTATTCTTGAAAATGCTAGCCAACCTGAAGACCTTGTTCCTATTAGGTAGGAAATCCATCGCATCTTTGTCCTCAGATTGTCTTTTTATCTTGGCGATCTTTTTTTGTAGGTTAGATATGGAGTTGGATGGTGTAAAACTTCGCGATACGTTTTGTTATAACAGAAATGAGAAAATGATAAGTCCGGAGATGATTGCAGAGACGATGTGCGAGGATTTAGATCTTCCGATGGGGACTTTTCATGCTGCCATTGCACAGGCTATACACCAGCAAATTGAGGTTTCTGAAAACCTTTGTTTCCTTTATTGTAGTATTTTGGGAATGAATTTGTGTAAAAGTTGATTTATAGGCATCTGCTGAAGTGGCTCCCGTCGACACGACTTTGAGTGATCAACGAGCTTTATTGAAATTAAATATTCATGTAGGTAATCAGTCACTAGTTGATCAGTTTGAGTGGGATATGAGCGAGGAACGGAATAGTCCTGAGTGGTTCGCGCAAAAGTTATGTGCTGAACTCGGTTTAGGTGGCGAATTTGTTGCTGCTATCAGTTATTCTATTCGAGGGCAGCTTTCATGGAATCAACGTACATATGCATACAGGTGAGACAGTATACAATGAAAATAGAGAAATTCTATGTTAAATGGTATGGTCAGTTATGTTTAATGTTTATTTTTTAAGTGAGTCACCATTACCGACAGTCGATTGCCCTTTCCGTAATCCTGCAGACGCAGATGCTTGGGGACCATTTTTAGAGACTCTTACTGATGCTGAAATTGAAAAGAAGATGAGAGATCAGGATAGGAATACCCGCCGTATGCGTCGTCTTGTGAACTCAAATCCGTATGGGGCGCTCTAAATTAATCCTACCTTCTTACGACTTGTAATCTTAAGTGATATATGATTAACACTAGTTCGCTATGAGAAGTCAACTTTAATATTTTTTCGTGTTATCTTCCATGTCTTTTGAACCGTTCATTTCATGATGTTGATGCATATTCATCCAGGATATATTTCTATTTTTCCAGCGGTCGAAAATTGTTAATTTACGCTTACATTGCTTCGAGAACTAATTTTTATGTCTTGAAGGTTTTTGTAATTATGGGGCTTTAGCTTCTTTATTGTTTTTGGACCTGTATTTCTTCGTTGCGCTTAAAGCTCTGAAAAGAACGATCTCTTTCATTTTTAAGGGTTTTTGAGAAGGAAGAATTCCCATGTCTTACTTTTCCATAGCACTATTTGTATATAAAAATGGAATTTTTTGTGGTATTGTATAAATAAAAGGTATAAATACGTTAGCTTTGCTTTTCTTTTTTCCTTGTTTCGTGGTCTAACTTCGTACTTTTTCTCGTTAAAAATCTTTTTTCAGTTCACTTTTTAATTAGGAAATTGGTTGCAATTTCTTGGGAGGACGGAGGAGTGCAAAAGCTGTTCTTCAAAGTTCATTTGGCTTTGCTTCGTTTCATGTTAGTCGCTGTCAGGGTTGCAGCCAAACAGTTCATTGGAAGCGTGGGTGGTGTTCTAGTGAGCACGCCTTCATTTCCGTGGTGTTCTTTCAAAGACGACTTAAGTGACTGGGCTGGGCTTCGAGAACAGCGTCAGTTCAACGGTTGAAGTGGGTTTGATTGTAAAAATGTCTCGGTCGGGTTTTGCGAGTACGACCGGCAGACCGTATGGGGTCTGATTGCTATGAGTAGCCTAAATTCGAGTCGTCGTTTGTAAGGGTCAGCTGGTAAGTCAGTGTGTAGTAGTTTGTGGACAAGTGAAGGAGGGTGTTGAGGAAAGCTTATACGAGGAACTGGGAAGAAATTTGTTGCAAACAAGGGTAGGATGAGATGGAAAAATCTGCTTGATAACTAAGAGGAAATTATAGAAGGCGATGTAGAATTGAGAACTCAAAGAACAAAAGGCAATTACCCAAGGATAATGAGAAGCGAATAAGAAGAAATTTTTCTGGGAAAGAAGTACTGACGACTTGTAGCTGTATTGCGAAGAGGGAGTGGAGTATAAAATAACTTAGTACCACCAGATGTGTACGGCGGATAAGGGTGGTCATTGATATGGGTCAAGTAAACTGATACTTGGTAGCGTTAAAGATGATGTGTTATAACTGTTACATGTCCTCTTTTGATATTTGCTACTTATGGCACAATCCTTTTGAACATCTTTTTTGCGTACTACTCTGCGAACTCTGCAGTTATTTATTTAATTCTACTTTTTTCCAGGTGAAACTTTTTTGCAGTTTTTTGCCGTTGTTTACAGCATTGTTGAGTTGTTAGGTGCGTGCGAAATCTTTGTTGATGGCGAATTACATTTTGGGTTATCTGGGCTTTTTAGAAGCTTTTTGCTCAGCATTCTTAGATGAATGATGCATTTTAAAAAACGTCAAAAAATTCTTCTGAAGTTTTACGAGCAATACTATTTGAATGCATTCACTAGTTTGAAAAGTTTCAGTTTGGTAATGTGTCGCCTCTCTTGATAGGTATATCACAGGCATTGCGAAGTTTCTTTATCCCATCTTTCTTCGTTGTTTATTGATTATTCCCTACTCTTTTTAAGGAGGCACAGTACTGCTGCGATATTTTGAAAACTGAAAAGTTACAAAGTTTTACACGCTTCCTCTGCTTCTGATCACTGTGTTAAAACTCTTTGGACAAAGGGTATTCTGCTAGACTGCTAACTGCTCGAATAGCTTTTGTGTAAATTGTTGGTTATGTTAATTGCATTTGAATTAGAGTTTGACAAGAACAAGAATGTATGATCACACTTAAGAGAATGGTGATAGTCTCTCTGCATAGGTACGATCAGCGTTTATGCTCGGATGAGCAATTTTTCATTGTGTTTTGGTTGTAAATGGAGTTTTTTTCGAGCGTTTTATGTCTAATTCAATGGCTATGACTGTCCCTATCTGTCATTTTTTCAGTCCTTGTAGCAGTAGCCCTTACAATGGCTGATGGAATAGAGGTAGACGATGATATTGAGATGGAACAAACTGAGGAGCAAAGTAGGTTTGGCACATATTTTTTTCATCGGATTTTTCGGGTTTCAATGGGGCTATGTTGTTATTTTCAAGTTGACAGTATGAAAAGTCGAGTGACAAAGAAAAAAGGTAGAGGACTTGGAGGAGAAACCCATGGTGATGTGAAGGAGTATGAAGCTCTCGAACAAGAAGGAGCAGCGGGTGCTCCCCAAAGGTTTTTTTTTACAAAATTCTTTTTTTGTTGCTGTCCATTGAAACGCTCACATTGGATTTAATGGTCTAATAGGTCTGTGGAGGGTTGGATTATATTCGTCACTAATGTTCATGAAGAAGCGCATGAGGACGACGTTTTTGAACACTTTGCATCTTATGGCGAAATCAAGAATATAGCTCTAAATATAGATCGAAGGACAGGTTTTCTGAAAGTAGTTCTTTAATCTTTCAAAAAATCACAGTTGCGGTAATTGTCACAGCTTTGTTAGTTCTCTAATACTTTTTTGGTCTGTTACATTGAGTACTGAAGCATTTTCAGTTTCTTTTCTCGCATATCTATTATAATTTTCTTGCTGCACTTTGATTATTTTAGGGTTATGCCTTAATTGAGTATGAGACTCAAAAAGAAGCTATGGAGGCTATTAATGGTTGCAATGGGTCTAAACTTCTTGGACAAGTGATAAGTGTCAGCTGGTGTTTTGTCAGAGGAGGTGGTGATGGCGGCAAGAAAAGGCGGCGGTGAATCAAGCTGTGGTCTTCTTTCATGCTTTATTAATTTGATTTTTAATTTAAGTTGATACTTTTGTTGATTTGTAGTCGGTGTTTTGATCACAAACCACTGACTGTTCTTTTTTTTTTTTTTTTGGTTTCTCGCTTATAAGTCCACTGATTTCATCAATTGGCACTATTGCACTAATGACACCTATCCAGTTTGTTGTTCCCTCTTTTTTTTTCCGAAAATTTACATCTTTATTTCATTAATCAATGTTCTTATAATGTTTCAATGAATTTTAACTGAGTAAAGTAATTGTGGATTTACTTATTGCTGTGGTTCAAAAGTAAACGTTGGATGACCATTCTTTTAATGATTTTGATGGGCTGTGTCATGATCTCTTCACTGTTTGATTTGGATAGGAAAACTTGTGCTGAGTACAAGCAATTATCATCATTTTCCCTTTAATGATTTTTCAAAGTAAAGAGTTCAGTTGTTTTTGCTGCTGTCTTGATAAATTGATAGTTGGATTCAATAATTTTCGCAGGAGATTTTTTTGTTTTTGGAAGCAGTTTTGTTCGTTATTGTTGGCATTTATTTTTGGGGGGGAAAGGGGGGAAGTTTTTTTTTTTCTGGCGGAGTTTTTGTGAAAGTCGCAGTGTTTTCCATTAGGTTAGTTCAGAGTCGTCGCTAAGACTCAGTTTTTTGGATTTTACAATTTATGTGAGTGAGTTTGTAGTTGGAAATGAAAACAGTGTTAGGTACCTCTAAGCTTGTTCATGTTTCAGTTTTACTAGATTTGCAGTTGTAGCATTTTTATACGCTTTTTGGTCATTCCGGACGCCATTTTTGCGGGTGCGTGATTTCGATGTATGGGAGAAGAAAATCAAGTGCAATTATCACTTTTTGGAAGATAAAGGTGGGAAGATCAGGAGGGGTTGTGGTTGGCTGAGGTGGTGCGTTTTCTCCGGCTTAGTCTTGGTTGTTAATTGTCTGGTGTCCGAAATTGATGCATCGTTTTGTTTTAACATTGATTGGTATATATTTTTCATTTTTGTTGGGATTACTCGCACAGCTGGGCACTGTCAAGAATATCGAAGAGAGCTGTTACTTACAAAAGTTATAGGGACCAAGATTCTTCATTTTTACGTCTGACGTACATTAAAGTCTTGTTTACGTGTCGCAGCCGGCGAGTTGTTCACAATATGACATTTCACCAGTTTGGCCAATGCTTTAAAGGGTTCATGGCTCATAGAAGGTCAACTTAGTTGCGTCGTTCAGCCTAGACAACATCAGCGTCATAGAGATAGCAGTATGAATGATTTAATATTATACGGCACTGAATTAGAAGAGCTTTCTGATGAAGAAGGTCAGTTAAACCATTAAGAGTAATTTTGCTTAATTGTCCTATTATATAAATGTCTTCATGACAAACGTAGTGAAAAAAAGCTAATTTTAGAAGTCCTAACTTTCATTCCCCATCCTAAATATTTCTTTTTGGTATTATATGGCTTACAGAATTTTTGATGAATCCATTCTTTCAAAAAATATCAAATACGTAGAGCTTTTAAGTACACTGTTTTTAGCAGCAATTTCACGTCGGCCCCTGAATATACAGGAGCAAGTAGTTAAAGATGAAAGAGGTAAAAGACGTTTCCACGGGGCATTTACTGGAGGTTTTTCTGCTGGTTACTTCAATACAGTGGGATCTAAAGAAGGTGGGAATTGAATCTTTTATTCCTGAAAGCGGAGGTTAAAACTGAGTTTACACATTGCGTAAATGTTGTGTGTTTTTAGGTTGGCAGCCCAGTCAGTTTCGATCTTCAAGAGATGCTAGGGGTGAAATTCTGACATCAAAACCTGAAGATTATATGGATGAAGAGGTGTTTTTAGTTTTAGCAGTAATTAGCATCTGGACAGCAACTTAAGGTTTTGAGCCAGTTATTTAGTATACATATTGTTATGGTGGTAAAAGCCTGAGAATCTGACAAATCTGAGTTTAATATGTTGCCTACTGCTGTTTAAATTTACTTGGAAGTCATTTGTACAGGGCCTGATAATGAGTTTTAAGAATGTTGAAAAGCAGCAGCTCGCTTATTTTCTTTTCTGTTTCTTTGTAGGATCTTGGCGAATACGGAATAGCCACGAGAAAGCTCCATACTGTTTTAGACAGTAAGAGTGGAGCTAACTTTTTCGCTTGGGAGCGTCGAACAGAACACTCTACAGTGCAAGGGCTGACTTCAGTTTTGGACTCATTGATTAGGCCAGTTAGGTATCTCCCTTCATTTTTTACACTTCGCTCACATTTTCAACTTCGAGATTTCTTTTTGTATTTCAATCAGTGACTTGGAGCTAAAGAAGTTTTCCATTTTTTTGGTGTTTTGAATTTATAGTGACTCAATGGGGATCCGATTGCTCAAGAAGATGGGTTGGCGAGAAGGTCAAGGTATTGGCCCGAAACAAACGAAGAGAACTGCTGAAAAGTTGAAAAGTAAATGTTTGTTTAAAATGACACTTGCTTTTCTTTGACATCAGGGACTTTCCACTTCTTTAATTTGTTGGGGCAGTACTTTTATGTGTTTTTTTAGGAAGTGAGGATTTAGCTCGGGGTTTAGAAGGAAATATCGATCTTGAAGCAATCGAAGAAGTTGAATCTATGGCCCCAGGCTTTTTATTCGCTCCTCAGGATGTTCCTCTCCATAAACTTCAGTCTCACGAGGGAACTCATGGTCTAGGATATGAAGGTTTAAAGAAGAGTGATGTTCTTTCAGAGAAATATGGAAGTATAGAAGCTGCCCTAAAAACCAAAACAAAAAGTAGGGGGATTCGCGGCCAGGTGGATAATTTTATCTTCTTAAAGTGATTGTTATCCATGGCTGTACTCCAGTACCGTCAGTAAATGCAATGTCAGTGGAACTTAGAGGATATCTCTGCTACGAAATTATCCTTTAGGCTTTTGGTGTGGGGGCTTTTGAGGATGATGATGATAATATATTCACTGATTACGACTTCTCGCAATACGACTTCTCTATCGGAAAAGATGATGAAATTTCAGCACAACAGGCTGAAATGAATGGTTAAATTGCTTATCTTCTACAGCTAGTGGTCTAACTAAATTTGATATGGTTCTCTATCTTTCGTTTTTAGAACCTTCGTCCTTTGTCATATCTTCTAGTAGGTGGCAGCCTCCACGATATCCAGAGCCACCTCGAGTGCCGCCTAATTTTCGTCCTATACATATTCCTTTGTTTTTTGATTTCGCAAAAGTACCAAAGAATATCAAACAGTTGGGTGAGAAAATGACACCTTTGCAACGGGCGAAGTTTTTTGGTGAGGTAAAGAGCTTTATTTCGCTTGAAAATTCGCTCAGGTTGGATTTCGTAAGCTGCCAAAAACAAACAAATAAGCTTTTTTTTGTCCTCATATGTACTTTCTATACGTAGTTTTAATCACAGATGTACTCGTTTACAGGTTGACAAAAACGCGATACTAGAACTAATCCGCGATGAAGATAGGAAGCGACTGAAGAGTAGGTGGGATGTTGTTAAAGAAGAAAGGGTAGAAATTGATCAAAACTTGTTTGAAGAAGAGCCCATGAAACAAGCTCGTTTTAAACAATATGTAAATTATTTAAAAAGAGGTAAGTTTGGTTTCAACGTTCTGCTATTGTCAAACTCCGCGGAGTATCTTGCAGATTTTGCCCGAAAGGAGTTTGGTTTTTTCTAAGCTGAGCATCAAATTGAAACTTCTCTCAAATTTCTTATGATTTAGAAAGTTGCAGTACTAAAACTTCTAGGCCTACATTATCCTCAGCCTGCCGAAATGACTTCACTAGAATGGGATAGAGAACTACGTGAATTCAATGCCGTTTTACCACCACACTTACGTGCGCTGCTTCCTGAAGTAAAATCTCGTCAAGAACCGTTAGCTCCTGTGGAAGTTAGCCTTCCTATAGCTCAGGCCTTAAAAACGAAGTTCGTGTCATCAAGAAATGAAAGTAGAAAGGTTGTTTTTTTTTCCATTTTTTAGATAAAAATAGTGCTAGAAAATAGTTTTAGCTTTTCTCCACTGCTGCGCCGTCTTAAGAGGTATTAATTACTCGTGTATAAAAAATACTGCAGCTGTTATCACTTCCTTCAAGTCCTTTATCCAGCAGAGTTTCATCGTAATAAATGCAATTTTTCAAATTTGATCGTCTCATTTTTACAATTTAGAAGGAAGTCATGGACGAAGACTTGCTTTCTGCAGTAAAAATGAAAATGTTTGGAGAAATGACACGACAGTTGCACGAATGGCACCCAGCTAAGCAGATGATTAAACGTTTTAATGTGCCGGATCCCTACCCTTCATCAAGTATTGTCGGAGTGCCGCAGTTACAAGTAATTAAAAGTTTGGCGTTTATGCTTTTAGCGTCACACCTAGGTAGTGGAATTACATTCTTTAGAAAGCAGTGAAAAGAGAAAACCTTATGAATTTGGGCAGTACGGCCGAAGAATTGACTTATCGAGCAAGGAGACAAAAAGAGGTTTCAGAAAAGAACGTGGTGAAATCTGATTCGGTTAAAGAGAGCGAAGTTAGTAGTAATTTTTGATTTTCACTGCGACTTGGTGTTCGTCAGCATACTGTGCACTTAGTTTACTTCGTATTACTTTTCAGACTGAGGAAGTGGGAAATACTGCTGAAGATGCTGAACAAAAACCGTCAGCTGAAAAAGTTCCAGACGGTTTGCTTAAGGCTATATTTGGAGGTGATGAAGATTCCTTATCTGGTGGTTCTGATGAAGAGACATCAGCAGGCCAAAGCCGTGCAGCCTCGCCTTCTGCAGCTTCACCCGTTGCTAATGTAAAAGAACAGTTTGTGAATATTATGGACATCGCTATTGATGAGAAGGATGAAGAGGAGTTTGGGCCCGCCCTTCCACCCACATTACTTGGAAATGATCGTATGTTTATTCCTGATTGTGTGCTGTTGGAAAGTGTAAATATTACTTTGAGGTCCTAGAAGGGGTGTATGCGTTTTTATTCGTTCGTGGTTGGGGCGAATAATATGATGCAGATAGCGAACTACTATCAGTATAGATTTGTTTTAGAATTCCTGTTTAATGTCGGCGTTCGATTGCTTTAGTGCAGCTTCAGTGATCCTCTCTTTTTAAGTAGTGATAAATGGTGTGAGTGAGACTTCAAGAAAAGGTCTTGTTCAACACTTTAACTGCTATTCCCCCTATAACCAGCTGTTCATTGCTTTGTAATAGCATTTTCGTCGGAAATTTGTTCAAGCAAAGTTTGTCTCTTCCCAAAAAAGTAACTTCTAGCTGAGCAAACAGTAGACGTTCAAGAAATGCAGCGGTCAGTTTTTAGGAGCCCCGTCATCACCAGTCGGCGAACATCGGAAAGAGGTCGATGAGAAGAGGCGCGAGAAGGAGTACTGCGACAAAAACGGCCGGAAAAGACATTCCCACAAACACAAGAAAAAACATAGAAACAAGAAAGGCCATAAAGGCCACGCCTCAAGTTCTGAAAGCGAGTTAGGAAAAAGCAGGGGAAAGGTGAATTTTGGAAACCCTTTGTACAGTTTGTTTCCGAATCTTCATACAAAATTCTCTATTGCAGAAAGACTTCAACTTCACTAAAAGCAGTTTGAAAGCTGTTAGAACTTAATTTTGGCTCCCTGAGCACTAAAAAACCATTTCAGAGAGTTAAGAAGACTAACAAACATCAAAGATGACGCGCGTGGCCAATTCTTGCTCTTGTCTGTACGTACTGGTCATCTATTTCTAAATAAATGAGATTCTCAATA